CCCCCCCCCCCCTTACATTCCAGATAAAGTAATCCTTTATTTTTAATGTTAACTTAAACTTAAATGTAGAAAACAAATCAAAGTTCAACATGTCAAAATATGCAATTGTTCATTTTAAAGATAGCACGGTGCGCTGTTTGGGTAACGAAAACTTCTATCAATTTTGTAGAAATTCATATTTGCTCTAGCGATATTCATATTAGTCATATTAATTTTAAAATTGTATGTCTTTATAAAATGTTCATAACAGAAATTTAAAAATGTAATAGGGCCTATGCAATTACTATCCACCATGAGACAGTGATACTTTCTGACCTGGATCCACTATCAACTGAAAGTTCTACGGTGAAGGGATTTTGTTTTTTTTTAATCAGGTGATTGATAGTGACAGGTTTGCAGCTTTGAAGACAAGGAAAGGAAAATTTTAAACAAAGTCAACTTAATAACTTAATGTAAAAATAACTACCGGTATAACTTAAAGTTGTTACAGTTCTTAAATACATTTACCGGTACCTCCTGACCTTCAATTAAATTTTTTTTTTGTTCTGTCATTGTGATAGGGTGGACTTGTTTTAACAAGAAGAAAGCCACAGTGTAAGTTTGGTGTTTTTTGTTTTTTTTTGGGGGGGGAGAGACACACACCACGAGTTTACTTACGGCACCGCGCAGTGGCGTAGCGAGGGTGTTTGGCGCCCGGGGACAAGATCCATTTTAAAGCGCCCCCTTTTCTTTTTTTCAACTCTCAACCCATTATTTTTACCAATAATATAATATCAAATCACATTTTAGCGCCCCTAACTAGCTTGCGCCCGGGGACACCTGCCCCCCCCATCGCTACACCTCTGGCACCGCGTGACATGACACCAACCCTAGCTACGCCACTGTTTCGGGCCATGGGAAACGCCTGGATCTGGAGATTCGGAGATCCTCGTTCGTGTTTTTTTCCTTACATGAGCTATAAAGAATACTTCTCTTAAACAACCCCTAAACATAGTTTTTCCGTATGAATCCTTTAGATAATGTAATATCGAGCAATTTGGCTGAAACTTGGTGAAACGTGTAAACATAACAAGTAAAGCATTTTATAAGAAACCCAATTATAGTGCGCCCCCCCCCCTTTTTTTTTTCCTTATTCTCAAGGTTCGCAACCACAAATTGTTTCACGCCCTGAACTATATTAATATTCTAATGAACTATATTAAATATTCTAATGAACTATATTAATATTCTAATGAACTATATTAATATTCTAATGAACTATATTAAATATTCTAATGAACTATATTAATATTCTAATGAACTATTTTAAATATTCTTATGAACTATATTAAATATTCTAATGAACTATTTTAAATATTCTAATGAGCTATATTAAATATTCTAATGAGCTATATTAAATATTCTAATGAGCTATATTAAATATTCTAATGAACTATATTAATATTAAATATTCTAATGAACTATATTAATATTAAATATTCTAATGAACTATATTAATATTCTAATGAACTATATTAATATTCTAATGAACTATATAAATATTAAATATTCTAATGAACTATATTAATATTCTAATGACCAACGCGCTTGTACACGGCATATTTATTTCAGAAAAAAAGAAGAAAATATTAGCATGTGTTGTCATCGGCAACGAATCTATGTCCCAAGTTTCAGCTCGATCAGTTGACGGGAAGTGGGCCAGTTAGCCGTCAGAAGATTTTTGCCTGCCACCCACCCAGACACAAACAAAAGCGAAATTAATATACCGTTAAATTATTTATAAATCATTGATTTTGCGCTACGACTGTGCCATTCATGAACATTTAATGTAAGCTTTTATTGGTTCACAAAATGAACGTCTTTCCTGCGCACAGTGTCTAAAATAGCTTTGTCCATTACATGAGAACATGTTGCCCTGGAACCGAAAAGCCTTCAAAAGCCCGCTCGTAAAAAGTGACCACCCCACCCCCCCCCCCCACCACACACACACACAATAATACAAAAACGTAAGTAAGACGTTCAACTTGTTATAAGATGCTTAGGAACTTCATTTGAGTTCTCTTGGTCCATTACATGAAAACATGTTGCCCTGGAACCGAAAAGCCTTCAAAAGCCCGCTCGTAAAAAGTGACCCCCCCCCCCCCCCCCCCCACCACACACACACACAATAATACAAAAACGTAAGTAAGACGTTCAACTTGTTATAAGATGCTTAGGAACTTCATTTGAGTTTCCCCTACTAAGAAATATAAGACTTGATTCGCGTAATGATTGGCCGCTCTTACAGCTCACGTGATTGATTGACTGCTCTTAAAGCTCACGTGATGATTGACCGCTCTTACAGCTCACGTAATGATTGACCGCTCTTAAAGCTCACGTGATGATTGACCGCTCTTACAGCTCACATAATGATTGACTGCTCTTAAAGCTCACGTGATGATTGACCGCTCTTACAGCTCACATAATGATTGACCGCTCTTACTGCTCACATGATGATTGACCGCTCTTACAGCTCACATAATGATTGACCGCTCTTACTGCTCACATGATGATTGACCGCTCTTACTGCTCACATGATGATTGGATGCTCTTAGAGCCCATGGTTTAAATATATATTTTACTTTTTGAGTATCACAATGCTCAAATATTTTCACAATTTTAGCTATTCAATACAAATTTAAAAAAAAATATTTTCAATTCTTTTTCCACATAAGGACTTTTGGCGTCTTAAATATCCGATGCCCCCAAGTGACGGCTCTCCTTCCCCCACCCCCACCCCAAACCGTTACTGAGTTATTAATGTAAGAGTAGCTACGCCCAACACAGACACCATCATACGATTGATAAAGATAACAAACATTTGCTTTAAGGAGATTTGTTAAGTTCAAATTATTGTTTACCGCATCACAACATGTATTCTAAATACCGGGCATCTAATGTCATACAAAAATATATATATATTTTCATATACAAACAATTAGAATGAAATTCGATATCTAATATTGTAAATCTAGCTGGAAAAAACAGTGTTAAAAGATATGGAATTTTAATTATTTATTATTAGTATTTGCATATGAAAAAAAAAATGGGGATTCATGTCAAGATTTCCAAATGTTAAACATGATTTGACCTACATTTACTTGTATTGATCTTGTCAGTCAGCGAGCTTTAATTAAATTATCCTGCTGCAGTATTTAAGAATCTTTCCTGATTTTAAAAAAAAATGCTTTTAGCGTGGGAGAAAATAATACGATATTCCGTTCCGTGAGAAGAGCTAAGTACTGCTATTTTCCATTAACATAAGTTATTTATAGACGTACTGCTATATGTCAGTTATAATAATTTATTTATAGAAGTACTGCTATGTGTCAGTTATTATAAGTTATTTATAGAAGTACTGCTATGTGTCCATAAACATAAGTTATTTATAGACGTACTGCTATGTGTCAGTTATAATAAGTTATTTATAGAAGTACTGCTATTTGTCAGTTATAATAAGTTATTTATAGAAGTACTGCTTTGTGTCAGTTATAATAAGTTATTTATAGACGTAGCCTAATCCTATATGTCAATTACAATAAGTTCTTTTTTACAGAGACAAAGAGAAATTAACGTTTTTCTTTTTCATGATTGTATTTCATTCAAAACAACAGATGAGACAATATTGTTGTGCGGACTTAGTCAATGTGGGAGATGTGACCAGTGCGTGGATGATTTTTTCCCATGATACACCTGTTCTAACGTTAACCCTTGTGTCACCCGTTTCAACAAAGACAAAAGGAGAGTAATTGTTAACATAGACAAGACACGAGTTATTTAACATAGCCATGACATTGCTAACGCTATTCGATCATAGAAAAGACACCTGCCATGTTTGGCACAGTCAAGAGACACGTGTTATTGAGCCAAGAAAAGACACATGCTACCGTATTT